ATTCCATAACTAACATTTGTTGAAAACATTTATCTATTTTTACTGTAAACTTCATCATTATATAATTTATTATAATTTATAAAAAGTTATTGAAGTTACAAAGTTCTTATTTATTTATTTATTTATAGTATTATAATAATTATATTATTATAATAATATCATTATAATCACTATAATTTTGAACACGGTGGCGCCATTTGCCAGCGAATATGAGTACTAAAAATGCCGATAACTCTGGATGTTTCTTACCGACAGATGGCGCTGCCATATTCAAGATCGGTACTGTAGCAATTTGTAAAAAAAATTAATTTACAATATTAATTTACGACTTTTTGGAATTACGGAATCGGTTCTAGATCTTCAGCTTCCTGTTCCCGTTTCTTTTATCCCACAGAATGTCTGCATAAAGATTACCGAACATTTGCAAAATTGATATTTAATTTTTCGCAAACTACGACCCGAATTTGAATCAAACTCGTTTGTGAGTTTATAACTGAAAGCACCAGAGATGATATGCGCGCGTAGAAAATGCAAATTAACATCGTACAAGCGTAAAATTTAGTGTACGTTATAATAATGACGATATCCGATCACAGACTGTCAGTGGTGCGATAAACCTCTCAGCTCCACTATTTCAACACAATGCTAATATTTCAGTGATAAAGAATAGACCAAACCTCCAATTACAAACAGAAAAGATAATTAAATCGAATAATATAATATGAACTTTTATAATTACAGTGTTTGTTCAAAACCCCGTGCTGTTTTTTATATCCCATTGAAGTTGAAAATGAAATGATCACATTTAAATGATCTACTCAATAAACGGGTATATTCTTTTACATAAAGTACAATTCCTATTAAACTACTATTTGAAATTCAGACCAATTCAAAATGAAATGGGAAGGCGGCAAACTAATACCTTAAAATTCTTTTCACAGATGGAAATTTTTCACTCTTCGGGTGCACAAACACTGGCGCCATGTTGGAATGGAAAAATTAACTCACCATCTTCGTATAAACAAATATAATTAATTTTAGTTTTACACACCCATAATATGCATTCGATTTATATTTCAAAGATGATACCCATCACTACTATAGCAAAATATATATTTGGTTCCAATAACTAATGTAGTTTACGAGAAATTAAATACTATGTGAGAATGTTTCGCTGTATTGATCAAAATTTGAAAATTTTTTGTGTTACTTAATTTTGTAAGACAAATGGAATATAGAAAGAAGGAAAAATTTAAACTAAAACTAATGATTCAATCACGGAAATTCACAAATTATTCCTCTTGATTAGTTTCGCAATTACGCGTCGCTTTGGACATCGTAGCGCCATCTGTCGGTTATTTCCTTGTACCAATTACTGGTAAATAAACATTCTCTAGTAAAAAGCCAAATTAAAAAAATTAAAGTATAAAGCTTCTTTCATTGCACCTTCTTAAGTTTCCAGCCCTTTCTCCATTTCCTTTTGAAATCGTAAAATGCACGGAAAATTATTTTTAATATTAATTAGTACCCATGGAGTACCAACAGATGACGCCACCGTGCCAAAAATCTGCTCTAATTCAATATAATTAATTAATTACTTGAATGATGGGAACAATGTTAGTCAGTAAAGGTTTCTGGAAGTTTATAATTTAATTTTCTTCTTGTACCACTTATATATTCTATCTATATACCGATAAATTTAATTTTTTTTTGCGTCAAATGGTGATTCATTGAACCAGTTATAGTCAACGTGGCGTTAGTATTTCAGTGTCCACAAACCAGCCAAATTTTCATTTAAAATGAAAGGTAATAAATAAATATTATATGGGAACATTTATAGTGTTCTCCTAATTAAACTTTTAATTTTCATTTTATGTTTCATTTGAACAGAAACGAGCAAATATTTTTTATAAATTCATTAGTCATACATGCATGTTGACAACATTTAGCACCAGCATGTAAGAAAGTAAGTAGATAAGTAGAGTACATTTATTGTATTAAATTAATTAATTATGTAAAAAGTCAAAGTGATGTACAGAGACAATTTTTTTTTTGTTCAAAAATTTGTCTTATTTTGATTAATATGATTTTTTGATTTCATCGGTAGTAGATTAATTCTACCATTAAATTTTTATTTGTATTTTTAAGAAACCCATTTAAGAGGTGTTGGTTGTCAAATGTTTTAATTGGCGTCCCCTTTTCTTTCTACATATATAGAATAACAATAAGTCTGCGGTATGCATGAGTAAAAATTTACAACTGCTGTTCTTTAGAATAAAAGTTGAAAGTATATAATTGAAAAAATCTACTTTGAAATACAATATAGATTAAACTCGTGACAATGTGTGGTTTTTTATGTTGCTTAATTTAAATGTGAAACAATTAGTTCCACCATTTCACAACTATGTGGCGTCTTGTCTGCGTGATATCTTCCCGCCAAATACATATTTCATGACGTGCACGTGCTCCGTTCTGGATCTTCATTAAAACGAAATAGAACGAATTATTTAGTGTTAAGAGAAATTCTTTAAAGTTTTGTTAAAGTTCAACTATAAAAATGTCAGAAATTGACACTACTTGGATGGATTTAACTACCTGGACGGATTTACCGGAAGAAATCGATGAAGATTTTGTTTCGTACAAAGGAGATTATGATTTTCCACATTATTTATCTGAAGACAAAGAATGGGTCCATTTGCAACATTATGAAGATAGAATACAAATTTTTGAACCTTTTCTGATAACGGAATTGAGTAGATTTGTACCTTATATTAAGAATAATCGTGTCCAATTTCATGCTCTCAATATGCCTAATATCATAATAAGAAAAATAGAAATAGTGGGATTTGTGTTATCTGTTTCTGAAGATGTTAAATTTTATTACTACCAAGTTGATGATGGAACGGGAAATATTACAATTTGTCATAAAAAGCAACATTTTGAAATTAATGTACAACAACAAGAAAAAGGAATTGATATTAAGGATAACAATAAACTTGGCAGTGATACAAATATCAAATCATCAGAAGTTGCAGAACACTCAAAATGTTTACCAGATCAATCTTCAAACCTTAAGCATAAATGGTCAACAAATAGTGAGACATTGGATAGAAAAATAAAACGTTGCAATTATGTACATGCAACAGGTTACTGCATACTTGATTTTATGCTTAAAAAGAAATCAAGGGAAAAAATTATGTTTGAAGATGTATTAAATGCGAAACTAAATATTCTTGCAAATAATGTCACTTGCATAAGTGAACATGAATATAATCAGAAGTTGCTATCATGGTCGAGTAGAATTGTTAGGAGACGATATGATAAAAATTTCAATGAATCAGAAATAAGACATTCTTAAATGTAAGAATGTGATTTAAAACAATATGATATTAACCATGTTACAAATACAAATATGTCCAAAACAGATTGTGAAAACATAATTTCAAGAATCAATGACAGAATGTGGTAAATGATAAAAAGAAAACATGAAACAATATAAAAAGAAATGATCCTTTATAGATTTTCATGAAATATATGATATTACTATCTAATAACTGTAAAGTTGCTACTTTAATTGTAGTTTCTGTAGTAACTACTTCTGTTACAATTGCAACATTTGCACTTTTTGTAAAAATACTAATACAAGCAATATCAGCAATAGAAAAGAACAACGAATAAAATAATTTGGAAAAATTTTAATGCAGTTCATAAAAATCAGAAACAGAAAAAATGATTTTTTTTATTTTAAGAGTTATATGTTTAAAAGTCTATTAGGTTTGCCTAATACGAATTTCATATAGAAAATATAGAGAAAAAAGATATTGTAAGCATTACAATGAAAGCAGTTTGTGATCCTTATCTTAATTCAATTGATTAAAATAGAATATGGAAAGAGTAGTAAGAGCTGGTCTCTATGCTAAGCATTGGACAAATTCTGCCATTGTAGTCAAAAGTGTCAATGTAATCAATATCTTCTGGGGGAAGTTTAAAATTAAAGACTTCACTGTTTTGAGCAATTCTGGACTTTGTAACTGATTTAGAAATAACTATCGTGGACCACGGTCCAGCTGGTATCTAATAAGTACTTGAGCAAGTGTCTTATTGTACTTCTTTGCAAGTTCACCCAATTTTTGATCCTCTAACAATTTTGGATCATCTGGTTTAGTCCATGGTCTATCAGGTGACCCAAGAGGACTATAGGCAGTAATAAGAGTACCTTTTTGGATACAAAATTCCGAAAGCTTTCTTTTGAGAAAGATATGAATGGCATTCAATTTGTTTTGTAACTGGTTTAATAATGCAGTTTTTAAGCCATCTGTCTATTTGTTCAGAATTGAAGTTACTAACACCAATATTTTTAACAAGTCCTTTGGATACCAAAGCTTCCATAGCTTTCCATGTATCCACATAATCTGCATTACTAAGAGCAGGAGTATTATCGGCATTATGTGGGAAAAAAACTACCTCCTTCCTTGTATGCCATTGGCCAATGAATTAAATAAAGATCGAGATATTCGAGATCTTAATAGCGAGATCGAGACCTTATTCGAGTAGGTTCAATTAAATCTGGTCTGTGGAAAGTATTCCATAATTTACTGGTGATGGAAAGATGCTGCCTTTTCACAACATCTTCATAAATTTTTGCTTTAAGGACATCACCCACTTCTTTTTCATTGCCATAAACATGGGCACAATCAATATATCTGTATCCTATGACAATTGCATCTTTAACAGCCTGAGTAACCTCCAGATTTAGACTTTCATGTACCAAGTCCAAATGATGACACTTCATTACTGGTGTAGAATTTCATCATTGGTGCGTTTTAAAACTTTTTTGATACTTTTTTGTAAACTTTCTCACTTGAAACAGAATATTTAATACTGGGATTAGTACTTTATTTTGAGATCGTCATATACTAATGCCGTCTTATGCCGTTGTATGTTTAAAACTCTATTAGGTTTGCCTAGTATACTATTATTTAACAAACATATATGTATTTGGACAAGAAAGTCCACTATAAATCTAAAATTTTTTTTTAAAATTCTCAATATTTTGTTTTTTTTTTTTCAAGCGATGTTTATTTTATTTCAAAAAAATAAATATTGTAATGAGACAAACAAACTAATCCTACTTTTAACTTTTGTTAAAGAGAATAAAAATAGAAATAAGAAAATTCATCAAAATCTCTACTTTAGAAATGCAAGAGAAGCAATTGTTTTATTTTAATTTTTATTAATCTAATCAATAATTATTTTTGTTAATTTGAGATACGTGTAATTAGAATTTGATTTAAACTTTGCAACACATCAAGAAAAGATTGCAAAGCAGAAAGTTATGATGTCCCGTCTGATATTCAGTATTATTAAAATTTGTATGACCGATGTGTGAAGATATAAAAATTTTTATTAATATTTAATTTTTTTTAGTATTTTTATATTTAATATATTTAGCCTAGATATAGTTCAATCTCTCAAAATATTTTTCATAAAGAAATATATGTATTTTTAAAAGACAATACTTACATAAGATATAAACTGCAAATGTAAATGTATTATATGATTTATGTATATTAATAAAACTTATTAAAGCAATGTATATACACAATGACTTATTTTAATTTTTTGACAGTATGGTATTTGCTGAAATTACTATTTTATATACTTGAAATTTTTTATTTATTTATTTATTTATTCTTTATTTGTTTAGGTATGAAGAATCATTTCTTTATACATCACTAAATTACATAAATTAGTGAAATTTAGAATTAAAACACGGCATAGTTAAAAAGAATAAAATTACAGGCGCTTTGTTAAATCAATTGTGAAATATTAAATATTAAATAATAAAAATTAGAGGAAGGATTCTTATTTCTTGTTTCGAGTAAGATAATATATCTTCGAAATGCGCGCGCTTAGGAAAAGATTACAGCGCCAATAACCATGTTTCCAAACATAATCGATATTTTTTCTGATCGATCGATAGTATTGAAGTATAATTATGTATAATGGTATCTGATTTTAGCGAGAAGCCAAGAAGAAATATTTTCCAAACGTATTCAGGTAAAGAATATACAATCAGTAGTTTTTATATTTATTTTTGAATTGCGGAATATGTCTGCTATCCAGAACATTGAGTATTATTTAAACCAGTTATGTCTAATTCTGTATTCAATCCCATCTTGGTTATAAATGAATATATTATAAATTTTCGTATTTTACAATGACTCGCGAAAGTATTTCGAACAATTGGAACAATAAAGTTTTATATCTATAATTGTGATATATGATCATATTGATAAAATTTTAAAATAATTTAAAAATTTTCAAATCAATATGATTACGTTACATACATTCGCAAATCAATGTAATATTTAATTGTATATTTAGTTATATGGTATGCTACAAACGTAGAATCATAGAATCAGGTTATATTGAATATTCATATTTAATAATTAGCATAGTCATGATTATATGTTTATAGTAACTGCTCTAAATAATCTAAAAGTTTATGGTATAAATATTATGTTGTAATTGCATTTCATATTAAAGGAGCCTCATTTTTAATTACATACATCTATTGTATATTTATCAATTTTATTTCATTAAGTTAAATTAGCGTGTATATGCTAACATAGATATGAATGTATATATACAATTTAAATATTTTTATTGGATATTTTGCTTTTCCATAAATCAGCGGAATTTGATGCGTGCTTGCTCGAGCCCTCATCTCATCAGATTAATTCATGACGCAAATCTGTTGCGAGGGAGGTACTGGTGCTTTAAAGCTATGCAGATAAAAGTAAGAATTCAGATATTGTATTTCAATTAATTTTATTCTTTATATTTCGCTTTAATTATTTGTAATTATTAGTAATTAGAAAATAAAATCCAATTTTATACTTTCATAATTAAGTATATATTTTCATAACTTTTTCAACAATATTTTATGCTTAATACAATTTTCATCTTTTTTATTATTAAAGTTCTAAGATTTCATAGAGTTTCATATTTTAAATTTTTTTTAAACAATTATTACTGTTTTCCTGAGAATAAATTATAATAATTGATATTTTGTTAAAGGTTTTTCACTCCTTCCTTTCTTTGTATCCCCTGGGAAAGATCTAGTGATGTTTCAACAGACAAAAATGTAAGTAACTTTATAATTTGCATTTTACTGAGGTCAATTGTATTTGAATTTTACAAATAGAATCTGATTGAAAATTCAACAAGTTTAAACTTTTTGTTTTCGAATTAAATATAATTATTTATTATTAAAATTTTATATTTAATAGAGATCATTTTTTTATTATTTCAAGAATTTAAAATAATTAACATTATCTTTATGTACAAATTATAACACTCTATGTTTTATTTTACAAATTTCTTTCAGTCTTTATGTACAAATTATAACACTCTATGTTTTATTTTAGAAATTTCTTTCAGTCTTCACTTTTTCCACAATATTCGACGTTTCCTATTTAGTGATGGATGATGACGTCTCTTGAACCACATTAATAACAATATTCATCGCATCTAACGGTGAGTTGCATGCATTTTTGTTCCTCTGATTATTCATTCATCTCGTAGGATGAAAGATCCGAATCGATACGATTGACTAGTGTAATACTAGTGTATTACGTAGAATTTTTCACAAATACGAGTGGGTATTTATTACATACCCACGAGTGGTAACATTTTCTTGTTTGTGTTTTATTTATTAATCCGAAATAGATTTTCTCGTATATCGTATTTTTGAATATTAATAATAATGCATTGATAATTAATATGAGTATGAGATTTATTACGAGATAATATTACGAGATAAAAAATTAGAATTAGAATTAGAATTATTTGTAAAATTGAAATACATTTTATCTTATGTTTTGTTATCATGAAACAATTTTATTTGCCTAAGAGTGTATAAATTTTACATGCAAAAAGACTTTGCAAATTTCAGAACTAAAATATTTACTTTTGAATCTTTTTTTGTATTTCCAAAAATTAATTTATATACACGGTATTAGAAGATTTCGTATTGACAATTAGATATACGGAAGAATATTTATTATTAGTTTGCAAGCGATAAAATAATGATCGTGTTTGCTTTAATTTGTGAGTTAAAAGATATCGCGATTGTTTTTAATATATTTTTAATTATAGTGTAAATTACTGTAAATTCTTAAAAAAAATACAACATTAGAACTTGTTCTCTTTTATTCTACTGAATTAAAAAAGAGATTTATTCTAATTAATTGCATCACAATACGCATTGAAAAGATTATAAGTATAGAGTATAAAATTCTATACCTGATTTCTGATTATAGAAAAATTAGAAAGAAAAAAAAATTTAAAGATAAGAAAATTTAGTATTAACTCGAACCATTAGCATACTGAACAACGATAAATTTGCGTACGTACAAAAATGGCAAGGGAGTCACTTGATAAGCCCGTCCCCCCAAATATGAGTTACGACGAAGCATTGTATGTCAGGTCTATCCTGTCCTTAGTCAATGGTTGTGGCACGCAAGCATCCCGGAGTGGAGCGCAACTTCGGAACCGCGTAAGTACAGTGGGTGGGAGTTGCAGCCCTCGTGAGTCAAGAGAGCGAAGAGTAACCGAAAGAACGGACTTCTACTCTTCAGTCTGTTCGCGGCCGTCCGTCAAGCAGGCATCTCTGATTCTCTTGTGTCCCTAGTTGCTCCGTTTTCGTCTGTAATCTTCATAATCTTCGTTACATGTAGTGTCTATTTCTCTGTCTAAAAAAACTTTGTGGATGATACCACGTTGTTGTCGACGATACGATCATTATCACCACCGACACCCTGATCAACTAAGAGTAATAATCGTACTGACAATCGCGAGGACACTGACGCGACACGCGTTTATGACAGTTTGTTGTGCTGAATCCATCCCCCGTGCATGAGAACGACTGAACGTGTGATTAAGTGGCAAGACGTGCAAGCATGTGGTACGCGAATCTTATCGTGGGCCTAATAAGTCTGATCATTGTCAATTCACCACTTTGGTGTTCAGACGCGTTTAACATCGAGACGAAACATTATGCGGTTTACCGAAACGAGACCAGATCCATGTTCGGATTCGCTGTTTCTGTGTACAGGGATAGATATGGACGAGGATGGTGAGATTCCTTTTATCATACTTCAATTTTTGTATATCTATGATCTAACAGCTGAGAAACTCTTGTGCTCTACAATTTATTAGAGCTGTATATAGAGCTTACGTAATACATAGTTGAATATTTTCAAGACGAAAGATTTCTACACGTCTAAAAATTGTTATATTAGTCTACATTTCAATGAGCCTGTATTGTTACGATTAAATAAGAATATAATTATTATAGAAGAGTATTTATTAATTATTATTGGCAATAGTTGTGATTTAATGAAACGTCGTTTTCGAAGTTGCGAGAGGTAGAGGAGTTTGTTTATGTCGAAAAATATACATACATATTTGAAGATATAAGTTTCGAAACATCGCAAATACGTTCATTCCGAATCCGTTCGATATAAATTTTTTATACATAACAAATAAACGCGTTCACACGAATCATTTATTTTAGTTAGAGTTAGTAGTTAAATACTAATTATATAATGATATAAATAAATAATGAAATTGTGAAACCTGTAGAAAAAATGAATGAATTATGAAATTGATGAGTCATACGAAAATGAACGACTTGGTTCGCTATCGATTATTCACATATTTTATCCCTATTAACGTTAACACATCAACGCGACACTCCTGACAACAGTTAATTACGATCATTCATCGTGAATAACTCGTTGGCAAGCAGATTTGCTTTATTGATTATCCCTACGACGATGATGTTGATTTGTTCGAGGGTAAACTCTTGGATAACAGATGCTTCTTGACAAGTTTAGAATCGTTTGCCTTTTATGTCCTCTTTCGAGAACAAGGCGAGTTGGTTTTCCCGTTTCATCCGGAGGCTTGTAACTGTTCTCCATCTTCTCTTCTACAATATACTACTTGATGAGTATGCAAGAAGATTTAGGAAAGCAATAACGAGCGACACGCTTTATTCCCTTGAGTAGGTGTTAGCATTATATGCTAATTAATTTAGTATTAATTTAATAGCATTATACGTGTTTTGACCGTAGAATGATCAACAAGAAAAGTTATTCAATTTAAAAATTCTGATTTTATAATAGAATCAGTAGCTTGATCTGCATGTAAAGTATATTGAGTTGAGAAACAGTTTTGTTGTCACATAGAGATCACATGCTTCAAGATTTCTAAAATTTTCGAGCATTCTTATCGTCGGTAGGGTATGTTAGGGTATGTATTTATTTAAGGAAGTGAGTCGCAATAGAGTTTAAAAAATTTTGTTAGAACCTTGGAAAAATCTGTTACGTTGGAAAATTATTAGAATTCTGTTACATTAGAAAACTTTGGAGTTAAAAATCTGTCAAAGTAATGAAAAGATACCATTGAAATTTGCAGAAAGAAGAAGAAAAAATGAAAAAATAGCATACAACTACAATTAGGAAACTAAAACCAAAATTTTCAATAGCATATATAAAATAAACAAATGTTGCCCATTCGATAGATTTTCTAGAATAATTGAATAACTTTTAGACCAATCTTTGTGGATAATTGATTACATAAGGTATGAACGAGGATTGATTACATGACACAATGAAGTAGATACTTATTACCATATGTAGACACAATTTATTTAAGAAGAAGAAGAAGAAAGAAGAAAAAAATCACGAAAGATCAAGAAAGATTATAATCTACGTTCTATATTATCGCCTATACACCGTATAGATGTTCGTTTTCATCTGAAATAAGAACAGTGTTTCTCGTGACTCACGGAGGCCACGAATAAACGTTTCTGCTCCAGCTCCTCTGGCGACGACGGATATAAATAATGTCGACAGAACGAGGAAACGCGAATAATGGTAGCGGTTACGATGGCCCTTTGCGGGAAAATCCACGCCAAAGGTCGACTAGGATCCAGACCGTGCAATTTATTCGATTCTAACGGATATCAAAGCTATCACACGATCAGAGTTGACAGAGACGCTATCGATTCGAACTGGTTCGGATTTTCGATTCGCATGGAAATCGAATCCTCCACATGTATGAGTTTTTGTAAGTAAGTACGCCGATTTTCTTCGCAATCATGTTTTTCGGCAGGATGAGTTTTAGAATAGGCACATCGCATGATCACTCGTTTCGATAGTTGGAATGAGTTGAATAATTTGACAAGCTCGAATAATTTGTGAAAGGGAGCTGATCGTTGGTATCTCACTCGTTAGAACGATTTACATATATATTTGCGAGAAAGGTATAAGGATTGAAGGTATAAGAATCGTAAGTCAATGAGAGCTATAGATGAATTTTTTTACTGAAATGAACAAAGTGTAGAAAATGATGTATAAAGTTTATGTTTGCCTAAAGAAAAGATCTGCTTGGATTCTATTTCTTTAATTGTGTTTGTGTGAAAATATTAATTTGCTTTAATAACATAATGTTTTAATATTTGGGAAAGTATACATAGGTTCAAAGTAAAGTTTAAAAAATCATCTCGAAATAAATTAACGAATAATTTTTATTGAATAAAAGATTCTTTCAAAACTAATATTGAAAAATACAAGAAGCTCAAAGCGTCACTGCAAGCAGTTTTCTCAATCCATCTTCTTTCTCCCTCAATAGCTGCTTATACATTGTTTTCTTCAATATCAGACAAAGATAGACAGTCACGATATCCGAGAAGAAATAAGAGAAGTTAGAGTATGGTGTTTTTCGAATATCCAAAGCCGCAGAAAGTACGAATATAATATCCGCTTAAAAATTATGTTTCAATCTTCGACACTATCATTTTACGTTTGTTCTTCCAGATATCAGATTATTTTCGTATCCAAAATTCAAATTACGCGGGAGATGGCAAGTCCCTCTTGCTTTTCCGCAATCATTTCTTGATTGACGAACATGTCAATGAACGTGATAACGAACAACACGTTGAATGAATTCATAGCACAAGATTGCCTATGATACGGGACATTGAATCATCGTTACTCCGTTACGTGGGCGGTTGATAGCTATTGCTTTACTTTACTTTGATTAATATTCTGTTAATCTGTACGTTTGACTTAGTAATTCATCAACGCTTCGCTATTTTTCAATGAACATGCCTTTCAATCTTTGTTGATTATATCACGTAGATATTTGTATGTACATATTACATATACAAGTGCGCGCTTCGTAAAAATCGCATCTAATCTGCAAAACCTTTTTTTGACGTCAAACCTAATCTTGGAAATATTTGAATCAAACTACAGATCGCTATCGTCCACATTTTTATTAATACTTTTCCAACAGTTTCAATTTTTTAAATTTTATTTCATTGAAACTGAAATATTTCTTGATGCTATGCAATACATATGTATTTACCCTTAATGTGACTATATAAAAGCCGCGAATACTATTTTCAAATAGCATTTGACAAGCGAATTATTATTAGAAACTTGAAAGTTACAGCAACTTAGCTTAAAGGTAATTGTAATTTTAAACGTGATGAAGAGATTGTTCGCATTGTTCGTGTATAGTATAAGATTCTATTGATTCATCTACAATCTTCAGTACAATGATCCCACGAGATACTCAAATCAAATTATCTGTCAGCCTATCGCCGGTGATTTTTCATCTCATCTGATAATCACTCATTCATGATCATTCTTCTTATTCACTACAAAAGAAGAAGGAAGAAACAAGAATAAAGAATAAAAAGAAAGAAGTAAATTAAGTGGGAAAAAGGGGGAAAGGAAATTAAAAAATTCGGAAAGAAAGAAAGAGAAATAAGAGTAGGAAAGAAAAAGATGGGAAAAAATAGAAAAGAGAAGAAAAAAGACAATTTGAGACATGACGTTATATATAGCGGCTTGATGACTCGTTTCTTTTCTCGGATTCGATTACTCGTGTAAAGACTAGTGAGGTACGTGCTAAATATAAAAATTGCATATGTATTTCGCAAACGAAGAAGGAAAACATTCGTATTCGAGTAGATGATAAAACTCTATACTTCCACAGCTTCGACGCAAGAGACTGATAAAATTCCGCTTCGTCTTCCCTCTCCTTGTTCTTCGTTGATCGAATTAATTATCCAATTTATGGAGATATCGCATATTGACGGACGCTTTTTCAAAGCGAAAATAGTTTTCCTTTTGTTATTCCATTTCTATTACGCGTCGGTCAGATTTTTTGCTGAGAATTCCGGGAAGCATATGTTTCTTATCTCAGCCTGCCTTTACATACGTGATAAAACCTTGCCACACTTTGCAAAGTGCTAGTCGTTCGTGATTCTACCAGAGTAGAAAATTCCACGGTAGTATCTCCGTGCTTTTACTTCCTATTTGTTTCACTGCCAATTCTCGACATAGGTATCTTTTTTTTTTTTTTTTTTNTGGAAATTAAGAATAATTTTTGGCGTTTGAAATTAAATCGGGAAGAGAGAATATTCTAGTCCTTTTTTTTTTTTTTTTTTTTTTTTTCAGTGGAGAATTTAATCATTTGACAAGTTTTTCGGGAATAAGTGTTCCTTATTTAGATATTTACTGAAGACTAAACAGAGAAATAATTTATAAAGCAAGATTATATAGAATGAACAAAACAGAAAAAAGACTAATGAATAAAAAATGAGATGAAATTTTGTCTTTTATAGTGACGACATTCAACTTTTTAAGTTGGAATAAAAATAATTAATTTATTGACTTTGATCTGAATAATTAATTTATTGACTGAATCTGTTGTAGTTGTTGTCAATATATCGTATGTGATTGTTTTAGATTTTCTCGTGGTTAAATTCTTCTTGAAATCTTTTGTCCCGCAAAAGGTTTGTTGTGTCGATCGTTTGAAACTGGTGCTTACAAAGCGTGTCGATGGTAGAGGAAACGAGGATTCAATTTTCCTGTTTCCGGTGGAACGAAACAAAAGTCAGGTTGGATCGGCGAATCTCGGTATAGGTTTTTTATTCTTAGGTACTAATTGGTATGCAAACCATGCAACATTTTACTTTGTTCGTTCAACCTTTCACCTCACGATCTTTTTAATCAGTTATTTCATTTATTTCATAGAGATATCACAAAGAGTTTTGAA